TGTAACAAGCACAAACATTACAAAAATTAACGTGAGACGGAAAAAAACCGTTAATACCACTGTCCCTTTTCAAATGGCGCGCGAAAAGTAATGTGAAAACAACCATCTTTTTCAGTCAGTCTTAAAATGGTGCCATGTTAACTTACGTTTGCTGAACACTTCATTTCATTTATCTGAAGCTGTCTACAAATTTTTTCTAACTATTCTAGGTGGTCAACAACATAGGGTTACAATGCCTCTACGAAAATTCATATTATGATTCAGAGAGAGTAGATTCTTTGAGTAGATACTCTTTTTAAGAATTTTCAGGGCTAATGAATATTACTGCATTCTAGTCAAACCATGCACCATGGAGATTATTGAATGTCGAAGTGTTTTTCCGATCCTCGTCAAGTACAAACAGCGTGTATCGAGCAATGGATTTTGTGGATGGTTAAATACTGCAATGGTACTGTTTTTTGCCTCTACTAACTGTCAGTAATAATAGATTCCGTTATCTATTGAAAGCATTTATTCTAGACAGTTCCCATGCCATCATTATAGTACAAACTAAGTTAAGCATTAATTCCGAGGTGTGACTTTGACGTAAGCCAGGAGGTCGTTCCATTTCTGTGCAACTCTAATAGGCCCTCAAATATTCACACAGATCTCCTACGTTGTGGTCGAGAATGGTGGGCAAGTTTTCAAACATCTCAAGTTATTGTTATTGTTAAATTTAATAAAAGTCTACACTTATTTTATTGGTTCTGTCATTGTCGCATAAGTTTCTCGATAACTACGAACATTCGATCTTTCCTCTCAATGTTGGTTAAATTCAGACTTAACCAACTAGCTTGATCCATGATACATAACTAATTATAACTTCATACCATGGTCCTTTGATAAATATAGCAGAATATGAAGCTCCTGTGTAACACGTGATAAAGTATCAACCACTTGTAAGCATAACTACAAGGTAATGCAAACGTACATCTGCCTGTAAAGTTTTCACCTACTGTGTTACTCAATCAACTATCAATGTTAAATTCACCTCACAGCTTCTTCAATACATCTTATGCTATCCATCTTCAACTATCCATTACATTTTCTTCTTACTTGGAAACCCCTTATTTGATTTCACATTGACTAGTTCGATGATAAGGTAGAGAATATAAATGCAAGAAATTTATAGTCAGTTTGGTCTATAGGTTTCCTAGAATCTTAGATTCTCTGTCCAGTCAGCGAGTTGTATTTGTCTGGAGTTATCTTTACATCTATAGCGGATCATTCTACAACGTTATATGAATCCCGAATTAATTCAAAAATACATCGTATTTGATTAAAGTTTTCTGAAATCTATATCGTATCGAACTGCCTATTGCTTCAAATGTTTATAACAAGTGAGAATGTGACCCAAGTGTGTTTCATATCTTTCAAGAGTTTTGTTTTATACTATGTTTATGATACTTTGTAACACAACATACTATGAAAAATTATATTGGATATATACGACTGATCTCGCTGTTGGTCTTTACTAGAAAATTTATCACATCGTCGTACAAAGTTTTTGACTTGATACTGGATGCTGAACGTTTTACATCTGCCTTTTACAAAACAACTACATTATCTGCACCTTCTTAGGATTAGGCGCTTTGGTGATTAAAATACTTAATAACGTTTACTATCCGATTTACACCTACGGTTATTTCACACACTGATCCATGAAATGACTTTCTGGTTACACGTTTGTCATATTTATTTAGTTTTTGGTCTGTTCATATGCAACAAGGGTTTGGCAAATATCTAAATGACCTCTAGGATTTCCCACGAAACCCAGAATAATCTTCATGTACACTTGTACCTGCACATACACCTATGGCACTAACAATACCGAAACTAACATGCAGCACAATCAGCATTTATAACAACGATTATATTTTGGCGTAACATTGCAGCATACAACTAATGTAACTATTTTATTTCAACTGTGTACATCGTGTAGTTTTCTCAAAACAGACTGTGCAGACAAATCTTAAGCCTAGGAATAAGTTAATGAGATTTTCCGAGTCATGACTCAATCGAACTGAGTTACCCAACATGAGCGTTAATTTGGCACGCTTATTATGTGGGCAAATACAAAAACGTAAATGGTTTACAACAGTTGGAGCAGCACCGGCCGTTTTTGGCTTGTCAACGATTTATCATAGGAGCCAATACAAAGGAGCTTCTTAACATCATTGTCACCGTTGAAAGCTAACAATCTCGAAATATTATCAGTACAACCGATATAACTATCAAAACAAACTCCATCAGTCAACTGACCCATCAATTTGTTCATTATATGAGGCAATGTTTCCTCATGTCTGTTCTCTAACAGGTCATTTCGGAACATATATGAGCTGTTCAAGTACTTAACGATTTACAACCTGTCCAGCCATATTTGTCTTCTGTCGGCATAGTCATTTGAGTGGATCATCCCTTTACGCAGTCGAGCGAATCTCTAGTAAACAGAAAAGGACACTATCGCCACTACCTCAATACTGACAACCTTTGGCACCAATATCACAAACATGAGTTTATAGTGGAAACTCTTGACTTCCTACGCTTTCATCAACATTTTTCGGTTCACTTGTCGAACTAATATGCAGCTCTGGCCTTTCCTTATCTTATAGAAACAACGTCATCATACTACTTTCATTCTCCATAATTATTCTACAACCCATACTGATTATAGTTATCATCAACAGTATTAAAACATTTGAGTACTGAACCGTTAATCGCTTCGTAGGATAAAATCACAATTGTTATTCTGCGTATATTTTCCGTATTTTCGGTTAGATACAACTAAGACTCTGCAGTTACAACTAAGCGCTAAATCAATTCAACGATGACGTCACTCAACATTTATAGACATGAAAGACAAAAGCAAGAATATAAACACATCGTGAGATCAAACAAACATGCTCGAGCTCACACATATGAATGACAAAATGATTGTGAAGATTGTAACAGTTCATTTGTTCAAAGTTTAGCGAAAATCATTCAAGCATATAACCTTAGTAACTGTTAAAAACATTAAACTGCGTTTTATGTAAACCTGAATACTTATGAGGATTCATTCGCCTCGATATCACTTTACTTCTGAGAGAGTGTCGGTACGTTGAAGTACCTAGTGATAATTGTCTCCGCTTCCATACTTAAGACTTCATCAATCTTACCTTATTACTTATGAGATCGGCGGAGGTTCAATTTTTTGTTAGTGCTATGATTTGCGGTTTCAGTTGACTAAAAGAACTATAAACTTTGGTCGTTTTGTCTACTACATCAAAAGTTTTGCACAGATATTTGGGTGCATCACCAAATGGGTTCCCGTATGATGAGGTCTTGAACTGTGAGCAAGACATGGGTTCATACAGTTTGTTTACCAGTTCCAAATTCAATGGTCACAAGCCTAGTATTTTTTTATATATTATTGGTAATACAAATATATGAAGTGCACATAACTATATACCGGTATTGGAACACAAGATGTGAAAGAACATGTGGTTGTCAGATGCATTAACTTGGTTCATGTTATATTTGAAGAGATTACGAGTTCACCTAACCTGATAACAGAACGAAAACTCTGTGACACAATAACAAATAAGCTAGCTATTACAACGCGTCCCAGTCCTGCTAACAAGAGAGAGAAGTCCAGCTTCAGAACAGGAAAATATATTCCCCAAGCAACCAGCAGTACTAACAACCACCACAAGTGTGGTCGGAAATACACTCATTTACATAGTGATTCATACACTCATTTTTGATGAATAAATTGGATGAAATCACATACATGAAAAGTACTAAGTTATGAAAACCTATATGCTAAGTATGGTTCATGTTAACTTAATAGACGAATACCGTATGTTATACGGAATAAAATTTCATACGGGTAAACAGAACAAATACTACATTGAGTAATCACAACATTAAATTAAAACGGGAGTATTGTTGAACAAAAATCATAATGAGTAAATCAATCAATCTCGTCATATCAGTTCAGTTGACTGATTTGCAGTCAGCTGTATGATTAAACCAAATTCCTTGAGCAACCCTTCCCTCTATTTTTTTCTTAGTTGTCTGTCTGTCTATCAAACTGTTAATTGTATTTCTTCTCTCTGTCGATACAAAACAAATTAAGACGTATTATTTGAATAACATCTTGAACAGTTTGATCTCATTTCAGTGCAATGAAGATTAGATCAGTTTAATGCGATTCTAGATTTATTTCATTCTAGTAAGATTGCTGAATATTCAATTACAAGTGTTATTCTTACTATAACAAAGTTACTGGTGGATCTTCTACTAGTTTCAATATAAGTCCGATACAGTTATTAAGAGTGATAGTTCCTATTGAAGTGAACAAGTACTCAGGTAGGGAAACCAATTTATTGTAGGGCTAAACTGTAAGCATGAAATATATTCTTGCGGTACTTCTCCTACTTAACTTCTTATACCTCTGTTTCACAATGAGATTAGCCAAAGTATAGTATGTAAAATTAAAAAGGAAATTATATACAACTGAAGTTGACAGGGAAACTAAACATCCACTACTTAGTACTAATTATTATCTGGAGATAAACTTTCTGATAGTAGTAATACTAACACTAAAGTACTACAAGTAATACTTCATCCTCTTCAAAAGCTAAAATATTAATCTCATTGTACAAGCTAAAACATGAATGTTTTATTAATCTACAACCATTGTTAACTTGAAAGTTTTCCGTGCTATGGATACTGAATATTTAACTACAGTAATTTTGAAAATTAACAAATTTTCAAAGATTTAGCCTCTAAAAATCGGTTAAACTTATAAATTAATTTTTCATTTATTATACAGCCTTAAAAAAGAAATTCCCATATCCAATATGGTTCAAGAATTGTTTATATTCATGATACAACAACATAGATGAAGTTACTTTCAATTTACTTCGTTCTGTCATCAATCATGCAAACACTTAGTTGTTAACAAGCAATATAACATGATTATAATAAAGTTAAATTTAACAATAAAATCAATCAAAGGTTAGTATGTTTTTGAATTAGAGAATATTTTGTTCATCTTTTTCTCCTTAGTGTTTATCTACATTAAGACAAATAAACATATATGTATATGTTTTGATTTTAAATTTAAATTATCATAAGGCTGATAATATAATTTTAATAGTTGAATTTATGAGTCATTTAAAGCTAGACCACCATAGAAAACCTGGAAGCATTGGACAACAGTTCCGTCTTAGTATGGGACTCCTCAGCAGTGCACATCCAGGATCCCGCCTCGCGAGAATCGAGCCCAGAACCTATCAGTCTCACGCGCGAGCTCTTAACGACTACACTACTGAACCGGCATCCAATGTTGATAATGTCTAAATTCAACCAATCTCCCTTCCAATACTTCCAGGTTTATCATGGTAGTCTAACTTTAATTGATTCATGAATTTAACGATTAAAATTACTATAATATTTACAAGATCCCCTCTATGAATATAATTTTAGTTAAATAAACCATTCTCAAATGATCAACAACATAAAACAAAACAACCATCAAAGATATTTATAATAACTTTATTGTTTACAAGAAAGTGGTAAACAGATTATATAATAGTATGTTACTTATTAGTTAATATTGTAAAATGCATTGGAGATCTAGATGAAAAGCATCTCAAATAAGTGTCTATCATTTAACATACTTCACCAACAGAATTCTATATATAATTATTACTGTTATTATTATTATTATTATTATTAAGAGAATATTCAAATGTAACAATATTGTTTATTTTATGCAAACTTACTGAAATAACAATGAACACAGTTTAATAAAATAGAAATAATAATGAAACGTTATGTAATAAATAGATAAAATGATTTTTATATAATTCACTTGAAATACAATAATAATAATAATAATAATAATAATAATAATAATAATAATAATTTCTACACTGTTTCTTAAAATTAACTTTAAAGATAACTCTTTCATTAAATTTAATGTAGTTTTATACTCATTCATTGAAAATCAATAAAAAAAAGAAAAAAAATCGATCATATTTGATTGAATGAAATTTTATCAATAATTGTTTGTTTGTTTTTTTTCTTTCTTGATTTTCTTCAATTGTTGTTTTCTTTTTATTCTCTTAAAATATTTATGATATTTCATGATATAAATAATCCATTTTTTTTAATGAACTAATTATTTAATTCAAATTATTAACTATTTTAATAACTAATTCATATTTTATACACATTATGAATAAATCTTAATTAATTGTTTTGCATTTATATTGTAGATTATTATAATAAGGATTATGTAATGTCATATAATTAAGGCGAATCCTCATTGCTATTGTCATCATCATCATCATCATCCAAATCATCATCATCATCATCCAAATCATCATCATCATCATCCAAATCATCATCATCATCATCATCATCATCATCATCATCATCATCCAAATCATCATCATCCAAATCATCATCATCATCATCATCCAAATCATCATCATCTAACTTTTCTATTAATTTTGATTTACATTAAGATTAAATATATTCAAAGAATTCATTTGTCAATGTATCTATATTGATGTAATAGAATAAATGTAAAATAAGTGTAATATATTGTTATACACAAAATTTCATGCAATAGATATTATTAATTAATATTTTTTTAAAATTTACACAGATATAAAAGAACATGTTTTATACAAAATTTATAATTGAAATGAATAACTATAATGTAGATTGTTTTTTTTTTTTTATGACACTTTATAATCAGGTCTATATTTAATATAAGGTCGTAAAGATAAAGAATATAATGGTTTTTGATGAATAGATGAAGGAATTTGAGCATTAATTGATGAATGCCATTCATGATGAATTGTTGGTATTTCAAGTATTTGTTTAGGACGAAATACACTAAGAAGTTTTGTTGGTTCACGAAATTTTTCACATGCTCCACGATTTTCTCTTCTACGAAATCGTATTAATCTACGTTTCCAACTTGTACGCCATGGTAAAATTGCAGTTTTTGTTGAAAATAATAATTCATTTCTTATTTTATTTGTAAAACTTTCAAAATCTGTTACTATCAGATATGAAATACCTAATTCAATATATGGACATTTACATTTTAATTCATTTAAGCGAACCCATACAGGAACTAATTCATTTGATTTTCTTTTTATCTCTTCTTCATGTTCATTTTGATTATATTGTTCAAATTCAATAAATGATTTAGATGCAGGCCAGTAAATACTTGAACTTCCTTTAAAAAATTCTTTATTAATTCTCCAAATTTGTGTAATATGCATTTCAAAACGAGCCATATTTCCATGAAGTTCACGAGATTTGAATGAAGCTTCAAAAACTATAGTTAAAATGGATAAGGAATGAAAATAAGTTTATTTGAAAAAGACTATAGGTTGACAATAAATCATTATATCAACGCTGTAAAATGACAAGAAATGTAAGCATATAACTATCAAGTACCATTGTGGTGTGTGCTACTTATATTGATATAAGTAGTATAGGACGCGAGTTAAAGAACGTAATGTCTGGCAGCAGAAGATGTGGGAAGATCAAGAAAGAAAGAGCGAAAACGCAATTCAATTTGTAAGAAAACGCATGGACCATGAAATGTGAGACAATCGATTGATGATTGCTACAGCAACAGTCCGGTTTGATATGATGGAATATTTTTCAAATTAACGATTTACTATTTAGTTTTTCTATTCTACCAAGTAACTCTGTAAATTTGTGCTAAATACATTCAGTTGTCCTCACCTGTGTTCTCCTTCACTACACCATCACTTACTAACTCAAATAAGTTGGTATACTTTAATTGATAATGAGATGGAAGGAATGTAGCTTCATTGACTGTATTTTGTCTTTCATTTTCAACTTTAATTCGCTATCTGTTTTTAAGAAAGTAAATCATGAAGATAATATTACAGTGAAACGTTTAGTCGATGAATGACAGTTTTTGTCTTCTTTTTTGACACTTCATTAAATAGTCAATGGCACGTTTTTTTCTTTCTGAAATCTATTGTCTTGTAATTTCAGGTTCGATGTCATGAGAAAGTACATATATTCAAACACTTGAGTTAACTCTAAAAAACATTCCTGAAATTTATTATTCGTTCCTTTTATCATACCATATACCAACGAAGTAAATCTCTTATTTTCAGTTAGATAGATTAGCATTGTATGGTGTCACTTGAATTGTAAACATTCTTATTTGTTTTCAATGTGAAGCACAATTATATGTAAGAAGAACTGAAACATCGAATCACTTAAGTATCATTACCAAGGTCTGACTTAATAACTTTACAAAAACTTAGTGTTAGATAGATTGTTAGTAATCGGATTAATGAAATATAGGCCGATATGAAAACATATCTAGATGCACAGTTAACAAAGGCACTAATTGATCACATGAGTAGATGAAACACTTAGTTATTATTTCTATAATTGTCATAGGATTTGAAGGTATTTCAACTGAGTTTAGACTAACTCCTTAAGAATATTTGTAAAATCTTATAGTTCATTCATTCTAAACTATTGAACTTGTTGGTAACATGTTGGTAACCACCATATTAAAAGTGATCGCCAAGCTTAGAAAGCAATTCAACCATCAAGACAATTCTTGTTTGAATTTTCAATTTTAATAAGTTTGTCCATCACAAAACAAATGTCTTAACTTTTAGAGTGTAATTCCTAAACTTATTGAAATAAAAAAGAACTTGTTTTTTAAAGACTTCCTTAATGTCCCATTTAGTCACAATGACCATACTGGATCTATGCTACTGCGTGGTGACTTAAAAACGATGTCAAGTATCTCACTATTATTAAGTTAGTACTTAATACGAAAGAAATACGTAAAATGTTGAAACGAGGCTATATAAGAAAGGTTAATTCAAACAAGGAGTATGATTTAATGTCTTAGCAAGTGTAGGCACTGTTTGCAAACTAATTTAATACACAGTGTGAGGAACTAAATTTGATCGACTTCTAGTTCTAACCAATTGAGGAATTGGTAACTAACGATAGATAACATTATGCATATATCAACTCAATATATATAATTCTCGATAGACTACTATTCAATCCTTAAGTTCTTAACAAAATAATCTGTTTTCGAAAATCCCTAATCTTTTTTCTTTTTCAGGTAAGTCTGTGAGGTATGTTTAATACACCTTGATAATTTCACAATGATTAATTTATTATGTAAATCAAATTTGCACTACAGACTGATCACAACAAGAAAGTCTCTGATAAACCATCAGGTAATTCATAGATTTATATTCCCAATAATTATGCAGATGATATTTGTTAAGTATAAAAACTATCATTCAACTGTAATTAGTACTTTCTTTTTAGACAAACTAGATAATATTTTGACATTGATGTATGTTTTATTTGGTAAAAATGATCAGTATTTTAGCACTAAGACATTAAAACATTGATCCATATAGTAAAATGATAGATTATTTCAGTTATTTATTTAAATATCTTAATATGCTATAAATAAAAGAGATTTATTATTTCAAAATACATATGTATATCACTGGTTGAAATCATGAGTCAATTCAAACTAGACCACCATGGAAAACATGGAAGCACTTCACGGTCGTTTCGTCCTAGTATGGAGTTCTAGTGAGAAACCGTTACTAGTGGAGTTCAACCAGGTCTGTTGTAAAATATCAACTCACTGAAGACAATGGTGCACGGTGGCGCAACTTCATGGATTGATTGAAGTTAGAAATTAACACCGTCGGATGCTGGCTCTGTGGTCTAGCTGGTTAAGCGCCTGGCGCGAGACTGATAGATCCTGAGTTCGAATCTCGCGATGTGCGGGATCGTGGATGCGCACTGCTGAGGAGTCCCATACTAGGACGGAACGGCTATCCAGTGCTTCCAGGTTTCAATGGTGGTCTAGCTTCAATTGACTCATGATTTCAACCAGTGAAATTTCTAAATTCTCCACAAAACCCCTTCACGTTTGTAAATGTGGAGATATATGGCGTATACATACTTTGTTAGGTCTAATAACCATCGTTTTACTATTTCATATGAGAATACTTACCAAATATTTAGGTGAACTGAAAACAAAAAACACATGATTGAACCCCTTCATCGTTTCATAAAGTTTATTATCATAGCTTTCAGAACATAACTGTTATCTGGTCCCTGAAGTAATAATTCAATTTTTAACCGTTAACCATGAAAACTAGTCTTTACATATTCTTCATAACTAAAAACGTCATTGAAAACAGAGTGTCCTAGTAACATACGAACATAATTTCCACATGAAAGCTTTCTAAGTGTTAATTAAATGTAGAACGTTAAAGGCAATTACAACTTAATTTCGCTTATGTTTTTTAAAGCTTCTGCTAGGATCATTAAAGAGGAAGAATGTATTTGTAAAATCTCAGCGAAAGAATTTGAAGCAAATCCAACATTTCACCTGACAATCTGGTCCAAGCTTTTTTAAGGAATACAAATACATTCTTCCTCTTTAATGACTCACATTAACTCGACGCCCAAATATTGTGAAACTATTCGTTCAAATTTAAACGAATGTTCTTATTCTGCTAGAATCTTTTCATTAAAAAAATATGACATATGAATCAGTTTACTTTTCTAATACCTAAATTATATGATAATCCTACTGATCATCAAGTATGAAGTGAAATCATTTTAAGAAGCAAAATGAACTGAGTCGTATAATAAATTTCATGCAACGTTAATCTTCTTTTACGGTTCTAAACTGTATTCACATATTAGTGTAACATCATACTATGTGGGCCTGCTAGCTTGAAAACATGATTTTTCGCAAACTTATTAATGTCCAGGACTTCAGTTATTTTGTTAACAAGTTACTTACCTTTAATAAATTTACATTTTTTTAAAAGGTTAATCAAAAATGAAGAGAATGAAAATCATAACCTGTGTAGTTATATGTATATAACAGTCATCCCCTCCCAGTTTCCTAGTGTTCTTTTTTCTAAAAGTACTCCGTATCTACCTTAGAAAAATGCTTCATTAAAATAAGATTTTGAATCAATACAAAACAATTCTCAAACACGAAGGCAAGTAATCTGTAACATTCAAAACCATATTTACTGAACAAACAAGATACAACAAGAATATAATGGCATCATAGTGTAAGCAACTGAACCAGTAAAAAATATCTGTAGGATAGAAGTTGAGTGTAGCAAGTTTTCTGTTACCTGACTGGAAATTCAGTATACCTAAAAAAATATGCTTACCAGAATATCTATACCAGGTATTTATGTTGAGAACAACGTCTGTTCAAGAAAACGTTTTATGGGTAAGTATCAGAAATCTTGTTTTTTGAAAACTATGATCAGATATTTAAAATGTTTTATAATTATCCTAAAAGTTAGCAAATGGGAATGGATTTTAATAAGTCATTTTAGCTATAAAATAAACATTCAGTACTTAAGGGAAGTGATTAACTAATTAAAATAACAATTATATGGTGACCTGTACAAATATTCTCATTAATTTAGTTTA